CGGGGACGGGCGAGGAGGGCGAAGGGATGCGGCAGGGCGAGGTCCTAACTGGATCCCCGTGCAACTCCACTCCTCGCGACCTCCCAGGAGCCCGCGAAAGTGGCGACCGCCGCGCACCTGGCAGCCCCCCAGGGAGCCGCGAGATCCCAACTGGGCCCCCGTGCAAATCTACTCCGCGCAACCTTCCAGGAGCCCACGAAAGTTGGAAACGCCTCACATTTCGCAGCCCCCCAGGGAGCAGCGAGGTCCAAGCCAAATCCCCGTGCAACTCGATTCCGAACGACCTTCCAGGAGCCCGCGAAAGTGGCAACAGACGCGCACTTCGCAGCCCCCCAAGGAACTGCCTCAAATAGTATTCCCCTTTCCTCCTCCTCCTTCTCCTCCTGCTGCTCGTCCTCCTCCTCCTCCTCCTCCTCCTCCTCCTCCTCCTCTTTCTCCCCCTCCCCTCCTTCTCCTCCTTATCCTCCTCATTATCCTCCTCCTTCTCCTCCTCCTCCTCTGTTTTAGTTTTTGGGTCCTGCGCTGCTTGCTGCCTCCTCTCGTGCGTCTCGAGCACCTTGGCGTCGAGGCGCATCTCCTGGCTGTCTGGGGTGTGCTGCTGCACTGGGGGCGGGACTGGGGTCATGCCAACCACCTGGCTGTAGCCTGCTGGCATCTGGGCGTCGTGCTGCCACGAGCTGGAAGCCGCGCCATCCTTCTGGATTTTCTGCTGCGGGCCAGCAGTATGATCAGGATCCTGATCACGGCGCTTCACACTCGAGAGCGGCCTGGTGTCGCTGGTGTCGTCGCTCGAGCTTGCGTCGATGGCCTTCTGAGGCTGGCTCGACAAGACCAGCGGCTCGGAGTCGACCACCGTCTGGGTCTCCACCGTTCGAGGAGTGAACGAGGACGGATGAGGAATAGGAGGAGAACGAGGAGGAGGAGGAGGAGGAGGAGGTGGAGGAGGAGGATGTTAGGGTGATCCCCCAAAGCGGGGAGTGGGTAAGGACGGCGATCGACGAGAAAATGCGAAGATGAAGAGGACTGAGGATGAGGAGCAGGACGACGAGGAACAGAGGGTGGAGCAGGAAAACGCACGAAGAGGATGTGCAGGCAGAGGAGGAGCAACATGACGAAACACCTGCTGGCGCAACGCTGCCGCAGCTGCGGCCTGCGCGGTGTCGCGCGGGAGGTCGATGAACGCCGTGGCCGCGTCCTGGGGAGGAACAAATGTGGGGGGGGGAACAAATGTGGGGGGGAACGAGTGGGAGCAGTCCGGGCGCTCGCTGCTGCTGCTGCCGCGCTCGAGGTGCGCAGCGCGCAGGGCCATGGCCCTCGCTGCAGGCCCCCGCGCGAAAACGCGCACCTCCCTCGAGGGGCCTGGGCGATGCGCCTGCGAAACGGACGAGCGTCTCCGTCATCCCTCCTCCCTTCTTCCTCCTTTTCTTGCTTATCTGTTCCTCCCTATAGTATTTATTTTCCTCCATCCTTCCTCTGGTGGACATCTTCCGTTCTTTCCTTACAATACTCATCATCATCCGTACAACATGTTCCCCTCATCCTTCTCATTTTCCTATTTATACGTGCATGTTGTGTGCGCGTTTTTTTTTCACGCACGCACGCACTCACACTACGTGTTTTTCAGAAACAAAACAGTTTCAGAAAATTAGTCCGCACACTAGGTGGTTTCAGAAAACAAAGAAGTAGCTAGAAAAAAAAACAGTTTTTCAGAAAAAAAAGACCTCTGGGCAGTCGCACTCGCCCACGTCGGAGGACAGGCCGCTGCTTAGTGGCGCCGCCGTCGCAGCGACCGAGCCCTCGCCCTCGGCGTGCTCCGCCGCGTGCGCCTGCCACTGCTTGATGAGGCGCAGCAGGTCCTCCACCTTGCCCCCCTCCTCGTCGCTCGGGTGCCTGAGCAGCGCGCTGACCGCGTCTAGCTCCCTGCACCGCCGCACGACCACTGGAGGAAGACGGCGCCCGCGCTGGCGGGCCCGCTGGAGGCCAGCCGCGAGCGTGCGCCCACCCACAAGCGCCACCATCTCGGCCGCGGCGCCCAGCAGCTGCTGCGCTCGCGCTCCGAGCGCAGAGCGCACCGCAGAGAACTGCCCCTGCGCCACGGCCTCGGTCGGCGCCCAAGAGACCCTCAAGAGGCCCCAAGAGACTCCCCAGAGGCACCCAAGATGCTCCCAGAGGCCTCGGCGAGAATGCCAAAACGGCCTCGGCGAGGAAGCCCAAATCATTGATTGATTTTACTAGGGTTTGGGCCCCATTTTGGCCTCCTGGGGGGGCGAGGCTAATTGGTGCTCCGCACTTCTTTGATAGATCTCCTCCAAGATGGCCCCAAGAAGCGCCCAGGAGGCCCCAAGGTCCCAGGATGACCCCAAGATGGCCCCAAGAGGCCCCCAAGAGGCCCCCAGGAAGCCTTTTTTTTTACTCCCCCAAGCCTCCAGCGGATCCCGCCACGAGGCCCGTTCGCCGCAGGCGGCGGCACGCCTCGGGCCTGACTGGCCTGGTCCAGCTGGTCGCCCTCCAGCTCGAACTCGACCTCGAGGCGCAAGCACCTTGCACCTCAGCAACTTCTCGAAGCCGCCGACCCCCGCGCCCCCAGTCCAGCGACGCCGTCCCGTCCTGGTGGCCCTGCAGCCTGTGCTGAAACCGAGGCCCAGCACCCTCGCTGCACTGCGCGCCCGCGAAGCACCGGCCCGCCTGCCTCACCCGCATGCGGCCCTCGCAGCAATGAGCTCGGCCATCAGCGCTTCGTATTCCGCCTGGAGCGCCTGCCATCGAGCCTGCGAAAGCCTGCATCCCCTCCACCATCGCGCGATGAGCGTGGCTGCATCCTCCTGCTCCTGGCCCGATGGCTCGCCCCATACCCCGAAAAGGTGGCCCTCTCCAGGTTCAGGCGGGAGCGCCCTCGGGACCCAGACCATGTCCGTCAAGGCGCTCCCCTCTCTCTCCTTGCCCTCCTCCTTGGCCACGTCCTCGTTCGCCAACCTCGCACCCAGCGACGCGTGGCCCGCCTCCTCGCGCATCGGCTGCTCGGTGGACGGGCCCCCAAGCAACCCAAGCTCCTCCAGCAGCCCGTCGAAGAAGACGTCGAGGTCGTCGAGCTCCGTGTCCAAGGCCGCGCCCGCCGTGTGGCGAGAGCTAGCCGTCGCGCTCTCCTGCCCAGCCGAGCTACCTCCCCCGCCGCGTACGGTTGCGGGGTTGCTCTCGCGAGGGCTCGCCGTCACCTCCGCCTCCTGGCGCTCCTCCTTGGCGGCCTCCTCCTCCACGACCTTCGCCTCCAACCCCGAGGAGTGCTCCTAGTCGCACTCGCCCACGTCGGAGGACAGGCCGCTGCTTAGTGGCGCCGCCGTCGCAGCGACCGAGCCCTCGCCCTCGGCGTGCTCCGCCGCGTGCGCCTGCCACTGCTTGATGAGGCGCAGCAGGTCCTCCACCTTGCCCCCCTCCTCGTCGCTCGGGTGCCTGAGCAGCGCGCTGACCGCGTCTAGCTCCCTGCACCGCCGCACGACCACTGGAGGAAGACGGCGCCCGCGCTGGCGGGCCTGCTGGAGGCCAGCCGCGAGCGTGCGCCCACCCACAAGCGCCACCATCTCGGCCGCGGCGCCCAGCAGCTGCTGCGCTCGCGCTCCGAGCGCAGAGCGCACCGCAGAGAACTGCCCCTGCGCCACGGCCTCGGTCGGCGCCCAAGAGACCCTCAAGAGGCCCCAAGAGACTCCCCAGAGGCACCCAAGATGCTCCCAGAGGCCTCGGCGAGAATGCCAAAACGGCCTCGGCGAGGAAGCCCAAATCATTGATTGATTTTACTAGGGTTTGGGCCCCATTTTGGCCTCCTGGGGGGGCGAGGCTAATTGATGCTCCGCACTTCTTTGATAGATCTCCTCCTAGATGGCCCCAAGAAGCGCCCAGGAGGCCCCAAGAGGTCCCAGGATGACCCCAAGATGGCCCCAAGAGGCCCCCAAGAGGCCCCCAGGAGGCCCCGAAGAGACTCCCAAGAGGCCCCAAGAGACCCCCCAAAGGCACCCAAGATGCTCCAAGAGGCCTTGGCGAGAATGCCAAAATGGCCTCGGCGAGGAAGCCCAAATCATTGGTTTTAGGACGCTAATTAATACTCCCCTCTTGTTTGATCGATCTCCTCCAAATGGCCTCAAGAAGCGCCCAGGAGGCACCAAGAGGTCCCAAGATGGCCCCAAGATGGCCCCAAGAGGCCCCCAAGAGGCCCCCAAAGGCCCCCAAGAGTCCCCCAAGAGGCCCCAAGAAACCCCCCAGAGGCACAGAAGAAGCTCCCAGAGGCCTCGGCGAGAATGCCAAATCATTGGTTTCACGAAGGTTTTAGCCACATGTTGGCCTCTTGGGGGGGAGCACTGATTGAGATGACTCCAAGAGCGCCTGGGAGAGCCCAAGATGACCTCCAAGATGGCTTAAGATATCCCAAGATGTCTCATAATGGTTTCCTCTGTGTGCTGCCCACTTCCCTGATCCAGGCAATTCCTCTGGGCATCGTTTCTGGATGGGCTGGTGGGGATTCGCGAAGCGTCAACAATTCCACCATTGGATCCCTTCCCCATCCTCAGGTCCCCATCCCTCGGGACCCCGTCTTGGAGCCACCGACCCTGCTGCCGGACGATCAGTTTGTCGAGCGCCCCCAGCCACTCGAGCCCCCGTGCAGCTTGCCTCTGCCGAGCCGGGGTCGGCAAGAGTGTCCTCCTATGCGTCTGGGCACCGGGCTCCCTCCCGCGCGGCCCTTTTCCTCGCGCCTGGCTGGGGCTCGCCCGAGCTCTCGGCGGGGGGGGGGCTGGCTCGCTGGCCCCCTCCGGGGCAGACTGGCCGAGCGCCCGTGGGGACACCCAAACCAACGGTATCAATGCCGCTACTCCCCGGGCCTCTCCTGGGGCGCGTTCTGACCAGGATCTCGAGGTGAATCCAGCGGTGGCAAAGCGAGCCTCCGAGGAGGCCGAACGAGGGGAAACTGGGCGAAGGGTAGCGGAATCGGTACCTTTTCCTCGTCTGAGCCCGGGTCAGGCGTCGAGCTTGATGCCCTTCCGCTTTTTCTCGTCGCACAGGGCCTCGCGGGGGGGGGGAGGGGGTCGGCCACGGTGGGCGCACGGCCAACAAGACAGCGTCCACCTGGCGGCTCGAACAAACGCGAGACGGCGTTTCTTTTTTTGTGCGCCACCGGTTCCGGGCAACGCGGCTGTCAAAACGCTGCCGGATGCACAACCGGCCCCGGAGTCGAATCGATGAGTCGGATCGGCGATCGAAAGGAATCGGATCGGCGGAGATGGCAACCATTACGAAATCGATATCCAAATCGGAATCCGAATCGAATCGGAATCGAAAGAGATCGAAATCGAATCGAATCGCATCGGAGAAATCGAAACGAGCACCCAAAAGGTCGAGAGTTCCGGGGGCGCATATCTGGACGCAAACAAACCGCCTCCCGCAGCAGCGTCGCCTGCGAGGTGTCCTGGCGGGGGGCCCTTCCGAGGTCGTTTCGATCGAGAGTCTGAGGCTGGATGCGTGTCCCTTTAGGCTCGGCAGCCCTCCGAAGCTCCATCAGGTCGTGGAGGGGGGCCCTGCAGGCCCTGGGGTACGAGGAGGAGGACGGCGAGGCCAACTACGAAACTACGAGGACGAGGTGGAGGAGGATGTGGAGGACGAGTGGGGAGAACAACGTGGATGACGAAACGGAGGCCGTGGTGAAGGTGGATGAGGTGGAGATGGGCGCGGTGGTGGGCGTGGAGGATGAGGAAAACTTGGAGGACGAGAACCTGTGTAGACCTACGACGCACCAGCAATGTTGCAATAACCCCTCCCGTCTACATGTCCTCTTCAAACAAATCCCTAAAGCCACTGGAAACAACCGCGTGAGAATCCTCAGCCGTGCCAAAGCACCGTTCCTGGGACTTCAACGACGCAAATCAACGTGGCTGCTGCGCCCTGGCAATTCTCAATCGGGCTAAAACAAGATCCCGGGGAACTCAACACCGCGGATCTGCATTACTGCTGCGCCCTGACAGCCCTAAATCGTGCCAGAACGCAGCTTCTGGGACTTCGACCAGATTAACCCTAAACGGTTGCAAACTTACGAAACACATGTTAACGGCGCGAAAGCGATAACCAACTTTTGAAAACCATTCATGATCCATCCGTAAACTGCTGCAACACATTACATTGAACGTGCGCGGCGCGAAAACGAGAACCACTTTTCTTTTTGCACACCATCCGCCCTCCATCCATAAAACTGTTTCAGAAAAATGCGCGCGGCGCCGGAGCGAGAATCTCATGTTGAAAACCACCCGCCCTGCAACCACGAACCTGCTGCAAACTCATAAGACAAATGTGCGCGACGCTAAGGCGAGAACCCAAGTTTGAAAACCATTCGTCATCCATCCTTGAAGCTGTTGTTCATTTTAAAACGGCTGTGCGCGGCCCCAAGGCGAAAACCACATGTTGAAAACGCCCCGCCCTGCCATCTGTGAAACTCATGCGTAAGTCTAGCTCGAAGACCATAAGTGGTGAGGAAGTCTCCAGCGAACCACCCGGCCCACTCTGCAGACACGTCTGGGGTGCGCCGGGGAGAAGTTATTTGTAAGGAAAAGGGAAGGAGGAGGAGCGAACGAGCGAACACCAACGGTCCGATGAAGTGCCTCTGAGCAATTGCAGCAGCCAGAGCACCCAAGAATCAATATTGCAGACCAGGAGTGCGAGAACCACTTCAGGGGCTCGAGATTAGATGGGGCCCTGCGGGGGGGTTCTTCCAGCGAAAGCGAATCTGGGGACACCGCGGGAGCTCGCCTATTCACTCCACCGCTATGTGGGCCACGGCGACGAGGGCGAGAAGGGGGCCCCAGGCACGACGCGCAAGCAAGTGCCGCACATCATGGCTCTCACAAACCTCGGGGCTGCAGGTCTCGCACGTTGCGGCCTCCTGCGCGCCCCCCGAACAGGTCGCCACCCGTGGTAAGGGCCGGCCCCGGTACAACCCCAGCCAGCACGAGCGGCGAGCTCGGGGAGGAGGACGGCGAGGCGCACCCCTCCCGCTCCTCTCGCCTCCGGCCCGCGCCGGCTCGCCGAAGCGTGGCCCCATCGGCCTTCCCCTGGCGACCTGGAGGATGCGCGTGCGGGGGGGGGGGCGGGCGCGCACCCCTCCCGCTCCTCTCGACTCTGGCCCGCGTCGGCTCGCCGCACCGCCCCTCGGCTCTCCTGGCGACTCGTTGGAGCACGCGCGTGCGGGAGGGGCGAGAGGGGGGCGGGCGGCTCGGACGACTCGAGGAGAGTTTTTTGAGCTCCACGCCCAGCACCTCCCGACAGCGGTAATCGAAAGACGACGACTGCAGTGGAGGGAAGTGCAGCTATCCCTGAGCAAGACATAGGCCGAATCATCAGACCGTTCCCCCACCTTTGGCAAATGAGCGGACCCTCGTCCTCTTCGATGGCGAGAGAGGAGCACTCACGTTCGACGTGACGAGAGAGATCGAAGAAGCGGCGAGGAGAGAAGGTCCGAAGAAGGAGCTGTGCGGCAACGGCAGGCTGGCTTCACTGACGGCGTGGGCCCCTGGGTCCGGCCGCCGCGCGGGAGATCCGCCTGCCGTGCGGTGCCGCGCATCTTCTGCTGTGATGGTCCCTGCGCCCATTGCCCCAACGCCACCGGGGAATCACCGCGAAGAGCGCGCAGCGGAGAAAGCCAAAAGATTCGGACGAGAAGCGTCCAGCTTCTTGATGCGCGTCCCCGCTGAAAAGAGCTGTTACAAATGCACGAGCAAGGCAAGGGAGAGACAAAATGGGTGCCGACTGAACGAAGGACAAAACGATACAGCAAATTCGTGCCGTGACGACCTGGGCCCTGGTTTCTGACACCGCGCGAATCGTTCACCCTTCAACAACCTCCGCTCCTGGGGGCCCCCGAGAGGCCGTCGACCGCACGTTTCTCGTTGAGTTTGCGCCGTCGGTAGTCTTCTGTGGGTCACTGACCCCGACATTGATCCACCTTGGCGCCCGCGCCAGCACCGCCGCCGAGTCGAAGCGGCGCCACCTCCTGCCACACTATACTCGTAGCGCGGTGGCGGCCTCGACGACGGACGCGTCCATGAGCACCGGGTCGTCGCACCGCTGCGAGGTGGACGTGACCACCTCGTCCAGCCTCGGCGACCGAGGAGGGCTGGGCTGTGGGAGCGCCGCTGTCCTGCACGCAGCCTCGCTCTCCCAGGTCGCCCGCCCTTCGCACGTCGAGCCGCGCGAGGCGCGGCGTGGGCGTCTTCGCGCGCTCGAGCGCCGCTGCGCCAGAGGAGAACCGCTCTCTGGACAGGACTCGCGTCCCTGCAGGCGACCCAGCTCTCGGGTACGAACTGCACCCGGCAACGCCTGGCGATTATTGAACAGCAGTGGCGCCGAGCGGTTGGTCCGCGTCCATCCCTGACCACGGTTCTTGGCACAAAAGCAAAGACTTCTGGGGGACGCGGGCACTGAACCCCAGGCATCCCGCGGGATCAGGACTTCATCCTGAGTCATTCTCGTCAAAGGCCCGGGATGGCCCGGTGCCCGAAAAATCATATCGAGGAGGTAGAACACGGGGAGAACCCTCGGGACACCTCTCACACAGGACGCTTTCTTCTTCGTGGCCCGCACCCCAAAGGTTGCCGCCTCACGGGGAGAAAATGATTGCTTGCGCCAGTTTCCGCAGGCGGAACCGCCCTGAATTCTCGTCAACTGGACTCCCGCCGAGAAAGACTCATCAAAGGAGCCGAACTCTATACACCGACGCGTCTCTGGCCCCGCACTGAACCTTGCACAAGAAAGCGAATCCTGTTGTATACGCAATCCTGGTGTATACAATGTACAGTTTGCGATGTTCCCCCGGGAAAACTGGGAAACAAGTATAAACCACACCACCACGACGTCGCCCTCGACCCTCAAAAAGTTCTGGGATTAAATAAAAAACACCACTGGCAATGTATATGTTTCAGTTTCCGATCATCCGCCGCTCGATCCCTCGACGGCGGGGCCCTTTCTTGAGACCCCTCTCGCTCTCGTGGTGATCTTATCGAGACACCGCCGCCGCCGCCAACGACGACGCCGCCGACGCCGACGACGACGCCGACAACGTTGACGACGCCGACATCGACGCCAACGCCAACGCCAACGCCAACGCCGCCAACGCCGACGCCGACGCCGACGCCGACGCCGACGCCGACGGCCGCCGACGCCGCCGCCGCCGCCGACGACGACGACGATGACCACGCCAGTGATGCCGCCGAGGTCGACGGCGCCGCCAACGCCGTTGGCGACAGCGCCGACGACGGTGCCGACGCCAAGAGCGCCGGCGGGCCGCAGATTGGTATGGGGGGAGCAGATCCTGAGGGAATCGGGCCCTCGACCCTGGGACCTCCCCCCCCGAGACGAGCTCTTCCGCCCGAGCCGCTTTCCGACAGTCCCAGGACCCGTGGAGGGCCCCCGAGCGCCCGAGAACGGCGGCAACCCTCGGGACCCCTCTTGCGAGCCGAGCTGGCTGCGCCGCGCGCGGGGGCCGCCGCCAGAGGGGGAGCTCGTCTGGGTCGCGGGCAGGCTGTCCAGCAGGCTGGCGTCCTCCTGCTCGACGTAGTCGCGGGCGGCCTCGGCCAGGAACGCGCAGTCCACCTGGGGGCGCTCCTCGCCCTCGTCGTCGTCGTCGCCCTCCCCCTGCTCCGCGCTGTGCGGGCTCTGCTCGGTGCCTTCGCTCCTCCTCCTCCTCCTCCTCCTCCTCCTCCTCCTCCTCCTCCTCCTCCTCGCATCTCCGCGTCGCTGCTCGTCCTCCTGGAAGGTCCAGGACCAAGGTTTACGGACGTTCCTGGCCACCGAGTCTGGACGGTTTCTGGACGTACGTCCTCCTCAATTCTTGTTCCATTCAGATTACACCTGAGAAAACCCAATAAGTGGATGATTTGAAACTTAATACTATGGATCTTGAGATCGGTTGTGAGATCGATAATGAGATCGATTGTGTGGAATCGATAGTGAGGACGATTGTAAGGTCGATCGTGAGACCGAGAGTAAAATCGCTTCAATGAAATCGATAGTGAGATCAATCGCGAGATCGCTCATGCGATCTCTAGAGAGATCGCTTGTGCGATCGACAATGAGATCGATTGTGAGATCGATTGAGAGGTGGGTAATGAGATCGATGGTGAGACCGATCAATAAGAAGATCGACCAAAAACCCGGGAACCCGGGAACCTCGCCGCCCTCCGAAATCGGCCCGGAACCCGGAACCCGGAATCGGGAACCCGGCAACCCAGAACCGGGAACCCGGGAACCCAGCCAGAAACCAAAATCGGCGGGAAACTCTCGCCAAATCCTTCAACATCCGCGAGGACCCCTTCAGTGCAAACGCTGATTTGGGAATGGGGATGCCGCCCTATGGCCGCGCACATTCGCTTTACGAGTGTGCAGCATCTCCAGGGATGGGTATGGTTTGAAAATAAATACTATGGATCTTGAGATCGATTGTGAGATCGATGATGAGTTCGATAGTGTGGAATCGATAGTGAGGACGGACGATTGTAAGCTCGATCGTGAGACCGAGAGTGAAATCGATTCAATGAGATCGATCGCGAGATCGCTCATGCGATCTCTAGTGAGATCGCTTGTGCGATCGATAATGAGATCGATTGTGAGATCGATGGTGAAATCGATAGAGAAGTGGGTAATGAGATCGATGGTGAGACCGATCGATCAGAAGATCGACCAGGAACCCAGGAACCAGGGCACCTCGCCACCCTCCGAAATCGGTCCGGAACCAATGACCAGGAACCCAGGAACCGGGAACCGGGGAACCCAACGTGCGACCAAAATCGGCGGGACACTTTCGCCAAATCTTTCAACTTCCGCGAGGACCCCTTCAGTGCAAGCACTGATTGGGGAATACTTTCTCCCCGTCGCACACCGGAGCCAGTTTTTAGGGCGGGTTGGGCAAAGCTTAAACATTGACAACAGTTTCACATATGGAGGGCTGCCCGTTTTCAAAATGTGGCTATCGCATTAGCGCCGCGCGCACTCGCGTTCAACATTTCTAAGAGCTTCACGGATTTAGTGCGGCTCGTTTAAAATGTGGCTCACGCCTTTGCGCCGCGTGCAGTCGCTTTAAAGTGTTGCAAGGAGTTTCACGGATTGACGGCGGATCGTTTTCAAAATGTGGCTCCCGCTTCAGCGCCGCGCACATTCGTGTTCAGAAGTTGCAGGAGCTTCACGGACTCCCATGATCAGCGTACCAGAAATTATGTTTTGGAAGGATTCAGGATTATGAGGGTCAGTTGCGTTGATTCGCGGTGTTGAAGTCCCAAGAATGGCGTTCTGGCACGATTCAGGATCGTCAAGACGCAGTCCACTTGATCCGTGGCGTTGGAATCCCGAGAGCAATGTTTTGGCATGCTTCAGGGTCTTCAAACTGTTGTCTTCCAACGAGGCAGTTCCTTCAGTGGAAATGAACCGCTGCAGGGGCCTATGAAGAGGGAGCTTGGAGGGAGGGTTTAATCCACCATCGTTGATGACTCTTTGGTTTACACTCCTCCTCCTCCTCCTCCTCCTCCTCCTCCTCCTCCTCCTCCCCCTCCTCCTCCTCTTCCTCGGGCTCGTCGTCGTCGACGCCGTCTTCGAGAATCGGGGCTCGAGGAGCGCCGACCGAGGCAGTCGACCTGGGCCCTGGGCCCCCCCTTGTTGCCTGCGCCCTCGCTCCCCGAAGGCGTCCGGCGGCCCGAACAGGAAATCGAGGCGGTACATGCGTCCCCAAATCTCGGCGCCCCTGGAGGCCAGGCTCTGGCCCTGGGACCGCCAACCAACAACCCGGGAGGAACAGGACACGATCTGACGCACGATGTCATCCCGACCTCGCGCGGCAGCTTACCCGTCGGGCGGAAGAAGCGGGCAGACACATAAAGCAGGAAGGCATTGGAAGTAGATTGGGTTTCCTCCCACCCCGTGAAGAGGAGGGAAGAGGGGAAAGCAGGGAGGCGCCGACTAAAATAGATTGGGATCTGGCAATCCAAAAATGCCGGATTTCAACGACCAGCGTGTACGCAAGACGCTCGGGCATAGCACCCCGTGGAGAAGAGTGCGTGCGCGCGTGACCTGAGGCGGGAAACTCACACGACAGCGTCTGCACCGTCGGCCCCCCCCCCCCCTTCTGAGCCGCTCACATGGAGCCCTCTTCTACCCCCTCCTCCTCCTCCTCCTCCTCCTCCTCCTCCTCCTCCTCCTCCTTCTCTTCCTCTCTTTCCCCAAGCCTAGGACACGCACAGTGTCGGCCGACTACAGACAGTACAGGAGTGAAAATCGCAAGTTTACCTTGACAGCGCGGCACACAATCGTGAGACAAACAATGCGCACTCTTCTAGCGCCAGGGCTTCAGCTCGGACTGAATTCGCCGGCCCAACGGGCCAGGGCGTGCTAAGATCTCCGGTACCTGGTTAACGGTATTTCTAGTTCGCGCGCGCGGGGCGGCCCCTTGGGGTCCCCGGGCGAAAAGTACCCCCGCAAGGTCCCGGCAAGTCCCCGGCAAGTCCCCGGCAAGGTCGGGTCAGAGATGCCGGAGTTCTGTTTCGGAGTCCAAGAGGGCTCCAGATCGGTCCAAGAGGGCCCCGAGAAGCTTTCTAGACGGTCCAAGAGAGGCCCGAGACGGCCAAAGATCGCCCGAAGACGCCCCAGATGGCCCCAAGACAGCCCAAGAGGCCTCCAAGACGCTCCAAGGGCCTTCCAAGAGGCCTCCGAAGAGGGCCCCAAGTTGCCAAAATCGTTGATTTTCATTGGTTTTTTCTATGTTTGTTTGCGTTCTGGCCTTTTCGCTTCCGGACGCTCCAAGAGGGCCCAAGAGGCCTTCAAGACTGCTCCAAGACGGCCCACGAGGCTCCCAAGACGGCCCCGGAGCGGCCCAAGAGCGCCCCCCAGACGGCCCAAGTGCTGCCCAAGGCGGACCAAGAGGCCCCAAGACGGGCCCAAGAGGGGCTCAAGAAGGGAACCGAGAACTGAAAAATCGAGCCCTCCGCCCCAGAAGGCGCCCAGGACCCCGAAAGAGGCCCCAAGAGACTCTCCAAGACACCCCCAAGACGCCCCAATAAGCTCCCGTGAGGCCCCAAGAGGACCAACAACGTCAGGCCCCAGGCCCCAAGAGGACCAACAAATACCGCCAAGAGCCCGCCGAAAGCCCCCCAAGAGACCGTCACGAGAGCTCAGGAGGCCCCCTGGAGGCCTCCCGAGTTCTCCAAGAGGCCTAAAAAGAGGCGCCAAGAGGCCCCAAACGGCCCCACCGAGGCTCCAAGAGGCCACGAACGCGCAAGCAAACGCCTGCGATGGCACAATACGGGCCGGCGGAATGAGCGAAGCGATTAAATAAATGGGTGTCGGAATAAAGTTGCCTGCCATAGCAATAGGGCGAAACTCCCAAGACACCCCGTTCCAGCGTCCGGCCTCCACCACCCATCTGATAGCTTGAGAACGATCCCGCACGAGTTCCTCCGTCTGAACGCGCAACAAGGTTACAATCAGAAATGCGCTCGCCAGGGAAGGGGAATTCCAAGCTTTTCGATCATGACGTCCTGGAATCCATTGTGTAGTTTACGAGGACATCAGCTGCGACATGGTATTCCCGCTTCCGCCCCAAGACGGGGTTTTGGTGAACTTGCGGAGGCATCCATCCCAAACCGAGCATCGATACCAAGCTTTTGCATCCTCCTCCTCGTCCTCCTCCTTCTCCTCCTCCTCGTCACTGTCCTTCGCAAGGGTCGAGCATGGAGGGCAAGTTTCCTAGCGCTTTTGGCCCTTTCTGGCCTTCCTCGTCGTCCTCGAGTCGAAGACGCAGGCTTTCTAACATTTCTGGCTCTTTCTCGGCCTCGCGAGGCCTCCAGGGCCCTTCTCCTCCTCCTCCTCCTCCTCCTCCTCCTCCACCTCTTCCTCCTCGTGTCGCTCCCCCTCCTGCTCTCCCCGTCCCCATCCTCCTTCTCCTCCCTCCTCTTTCTCCTCCGCCTCCTCCTCCTCCTCCTTCTCCTCCTCCTCCAACTCCTCGTGCCCCTCCCTCTCCCGCTCTCCCCCTCCCCATCCTCTTCCTCGTCCTCCTCGTTGCCATGTGTACGTTGTGAGCGTACGTTGTGAGACCTTTCTCGGGGAGGACGCAGTCGTTGGGTGCAACACGGCCCCTCGGGCATGGCGAAAGGTCCAAAAAGAGAGGCCCCAGCCCCCTCCTCTTCCTCCTCTTTCTCCTTATTGTCCCCTTCCTTCTCGTCGTCGCCGCCCTCCTCCTCCCTAAGCAATCGGTAAAGTGTCCGCAACATTGACTATTTAGGCAATCGCGCTCGGGAACCCCTGGGGCGGCTCGCATGGCTTCCTGAAGGGTTTGAGAGCGCGGCTGGGATTGGGAATGCGCGCTTCCCACAAGTGCTAATCACGATGGCCCCCCAACCGTCATGGAACTCTCATGGGGGCCTCTTGGGCCGTCTTGGAGGCCCTGAAAGCTAGCCAAAGAGGCCTCAACCCTTCAACACGCACGAAGCTTTAGCTGAATATTAGGACACTCGACCGTTCGACCTCCACGGCGGCTAGGACTGCCCAACGTCTCAAAACGACCCAAACACAAGGTCCAGGGAACGCCCCAAGAGGCATCCTCCTCCTACTCGTCCTCCCTCTCCTCCTCGTCTCTCTCTCTCTCTCTCTCTCTCTCTCCGCAAAGGAGCTCGCCAATTGTTTCCACAATTGCTCGGGAATCTGTAGTCCTGTGCCTTTACCAGGATTTGGCGGGGTTTCCAGAAGGCAAGGGTCGTCTAAATCGGGCTTCACGTGTTTGCCGCAGTAGCGCTACAGCCCATCATGTGGTAAGTCCCGTGCAGCGTCACACGGAGAGGGCAGCCTCAGGCGGAGCCCCCGCCCCGCTCCTGAGAGAAACTACATGATGCGCCTGTCTTCGACCCCTGACGTGCTGGTCAGCACGAAAGAGATCTGACTAAGAAGGGTCACGATGCTGATCTTCACTCTGCGATCCGGTGGCTGCGTCTGCCCGAGCGGGGCCTGCTTGAAGCACAGACTGCTACTAGCTGACCAGCTCGGCCCCTGGGCCCCGCCCGGCGGCGCCCGTGCTCTCTCCCCCTGGCTGCCAGGGCCTGGATCTGCTGGAGGCCGAACTTGGCGAACGTCTCCTCCCGGAGGTACTCGTAGAGGGCCTTGAACGCGATGCGCAGGATGGCCACGACGGCGCCGTTCCTCGTAGGGAACCGAATTCTATACACCGTTGCTCGGCCCATCGGCCCACCGATCGGCAGGAGAGGACGATGTGGGGGGACGAGACGAGAAGGGTAGGATTAGAGGCCTCCTCGATGGGGTCCGAGTAGATGGGGTCGAAGGATCGCGCCGCATCGCCGATGCATCACCGATACATCGGCGATGCATCGGCCATGCACTGGCGACGTCGGCGATACATCCGCGACGTCGGCGTGGAGAAAATTTGACCCCACATCGAGCCGCATCGCCGATGTACCGCCAATGCAACGGCGATGTGGCGCGATCCTCCGACCCCATCTGCTCCGACCCCATCTAGGAGGATCGAGCCGCATCGCCGATGCACCGCCAATGCAACGGCGATGCGGCGCGATCCTCCGACCCCATCTACTTCGACCCCATCTAGGAGGCCTAGAAGAAGGGTAGGATAGCAGAGGGCAGGGATCCAGAATCAGCTCACGCAACTGGCTTTTCCAGCGCCTCCTGGCGCTGGGAGGCGCCCATGTATCGAGGCATGGGGCATGGGCCCTGCGGAGGAGCCGAAATCAGCTGCGTGCAACGGATTTCGTAGCCCCCCCTTCCCTCAGGGATCTCCTGACCCGGGTCACTGCAGCCCCGGGCCAGTCGGGCCCTGCAGCATCCTGCAAGATCCTGCGGGAGCCTGCACGCAGAGGCCCGGGTCAGCGCACCGCTGGCGCTGCGGGAAGCTGCAAGATCTGGCGCCCTGGCTGACCCCCGTTTGCTTTGAGCCGAGTCCCTCGAGCACCGATTCCAGGGAGGAGGAGGAGGAGGAGGAGGAGGAGGAGGAGGAGGGAGGAGGAGGAGGAGGAGGAGCACTATCCCCCCTTTCGCCTGGCCCGAGCAAGCGGGGACGCGGGGCCGACCCCTCGCGGGGCGCCCTCGGCCCGCGGGGGCCGGGCCGCACGCCGGGTGGGCCAGCGAGCCCGTGCCTCTGCCTCGTGACGGTGCGCAGCATCGGAGACGCTCGCAGGCGAAGCGCACGGGGAAGCATGCTGCACAAGCCGAGCGTCGCGCATTCGCGTGGCACCTTCAGACTCAGTAGTTCCAAATCCTCCTCTGGACTCCTGTTTCTGACCGAACACCGCGGTGTTCAATCCGTCTTCCTTCCCGCCTCCCTCCTCATCTCTCCTCCTGTCTACTCCTGACTTCTTTTTCCCTACATCCTAAGTGGGGTTATTGTTTTCTCTGGACGGCCGCGGGCCACTCACACACACACACACATACACATACACACACAAACATAATGATCATCATCCTCGGGCATTCCATGCGAGCCCGCTCGCGCGGAAGGGACCTCTCCTGTGGCCCCTAGGGGGTCCCACCTAAAAATTGGAATTCCAACGGCTATCGGCAGCAGCGAGCCCGCTCGCACGGAATGACCCTCAGGGGCATTCCATGCGAGCCCGCTCGCGCGGAAGGGACCTCCCCTGTGGCCCCTAAGGGGTCCCACCTAAGAAGTGGAGTTCCAACGGCTATCGGCATCAGCGAGCCCGCTCGCACGGAATGACCCTCAGGGGCATTCCATGCGAGCCCGCTCCCGCGGAGGAGGAGGATGAGGAGGAGGTTTAGGAGAAGGAGGAGGAGGAGGAGGAGGAGGAGAAAGAGGAGGAGGAGGAGGAGGAGGAGGAGGAGGAGGAGGAGGCGGGGATTTCAACCACGGTGCCGTCAGGAGGACGCGTCTGAAATGGACGCTGCTCAAGGCGGAGGAGGAGGAGGAGGAGGAGTAGGAGGAAGGGCGAGGGGAATTTCAACCGCGGTGCCTTCAGGAGGAGATGGTTGAAATGGACGTTTGTCGAGGAGGACGTGGAGGAGGACGAGGAGGAGACGGAAGAGGCGCCGGAGGAGGAGGAGGGGAAAGAGGGGTGGGAGGATGAGGAGGAGAGGGAGAAGGAGAGGAGGAGGAGGAGGAGGAGGAGGAGGAGAGGAGGAGGGGAGGTGGGAGGAGGAGGAGGGGAGGAAGAGGAGGAGGGGAGGAGGAGGATGGCGGAGGAGTGGGAGGAAGAGGAGGAGGAGGGGGAGGAGGGGGGGCAGGAGGAGCAGGACGAGTGGGGAGGAGAGAGGGGGAGGGAGGAGGAGGAGGAGGAGGAGGAGGAGGAGGAGGAGGATGAGGAGGAGGAGGAGGTGGAGGAGGAGCAGCAGCAGCGTCAGCAGGAGCAGCATCATTCTGATAGTGTACATATTCCATACAAAATCCCACCAGCCCTTTGGGCGTGAGTGGTTTAGAGAGCCGAAGGGGAGGGGTTTACCCCTCCCCCTACCCCCTCCCCCTGGGCCTGGAGAGGGCGCCTCGCGGGTGGTCAGGGGAGTCCTTTTCGACTCCTGGGAGGGCTAAAAAACGACACCCCTCACGAGGATTCTGGCCCCGACCGGGGGAGGCAGAAAAAACTCTCTCCTCTTCTTTGAAGCCAAACTCATTGACTTTACTACGGTTTTGGCCCCATTTTGGCCTTCTGAGGGGGCAGCGCTCATTAAAGCTCCCCTCTTCCTTCAGGGACAAATCATTGATTTTACGAAGGTTTTGGCCTCATTTTGCCCTTCTGAGGGGGCAGCGCTCATTCAAGCCCCCCAAGATGGCCCCAAGAGGTCCACAAGATGGCCCCCAGAGGTCCCAAGATGGCCCACAAGAGGTCCCCAGGAGGCACCCAGAGGCCCCAAGATGGCCCCAAGAGGTCCCCAGGAGGCCCCCAAGAGGCCTCCAAGAGGCCCCCAAGATGCCCCCAAGATGCCCCCAAGAGGCTCCCAAGAGGCCCCCAGAGGCTCCCCCGAGGCACCCACGACGCTCCTGGAAGGCCCTGGAGCTGCCAAGAGGCGCCCAAGACGCCCCAAAAGGGGACGAGGTGCCCGAACGCCTCACGCCACGAGGAGCCCGAACGACTCACACCAGGACGAGGGGCCCGAACGACTCACACCACGAAGAGCCCGAACGACTCACACCAGAAGGAGGGGCCCGAACGACTCACACCAGGACGAGGCGCCCGAACGACTCACACCACGAGGAGCCCGAACGACTCACACCACGACGAGGGCCCCGAACGACTCACACCACGAGGAGCCCGAACGAGTCACACCAGGAGGAGGGGCCCGAACGACTCACACCAGGACGAGGGGCCCGAACAACTCACACCACGAGAAGCCCGAACGACTCACACCAGGACGAAGAGCCCGAACGACTCACACCACGAAGAGCCCGAACGACTCACACCAGGAAGAAGGGCCCGAACGACTCACACCAGGACGAGAAACCCCAAACGACTCAAACACGAGGAGCGCTTTCTCTCCCTCCTCCTCCGCCTCGTCCTTCTCCCGCTCCCCCCACAAGGAGGATGTACAAGGAGGCGGGAGGAAGGAGGAACAGGGGAGATATGCGGGGCCAAGCGGACACACGCCTGAAAAACACGACTGTCGGCATGCTTCGCAAGAGTTACTGTTGTGAGATGGGCTGGTGGGGATACGCGAAGCGTAAATAATTAGGTTTTCATGTGGGGTCCATCCGTTGGAGTAATTCCAGCCTTCTCTTACCTGTGGTTGATGCTGCTGCATCGTCATCCCTGGGGGGGTGCGAACTGCGAAAATGTTGTAATTTTCGAAGGTTTCCGGGGGCCAGCATAATGGGTACCAAGAATGTCGCCACCTTCGAGGGCTGCTGGGAATGGCCAGCGAAGTGGGCAGCCGAGCGAAATGATATCGACTGCACTGGGGGGCTGAGGACTGCGAGCCTGTCACCTATTTGGGAAGCTGCTGGGGGGGAGCAGCGTAGTGGGTACCGAACGCAAGTTCCGATTCGACCTTGCCATCTGCTGGGGGCTGCGAATTGCGAAACTGTTGCTGCTATTGGGGCCCGCGTAGTGGTAACAGAGGCCGGTTCCAATTCGACCTCGGCATCCCTGGGGGAGGGGTGGGGGCATGAACTTCGAAACTGTCGGCACTTTCGAGCGCTGTTGGGGGGCAACATGATGGACACCTAATGCAAACCCAGGCTATTCCGCCACCATCCATGGCTACCGGAGGGCCAGTATCCGAAACCGAACTCAAAGTATACCCCACCATCCTTGAGGGGCTGCGAACTGTGAAACTATTGACACTGGCGAGGGCTTCTGGGGTGGACAACGTAGTGGGTACCGAATGCATTTTCATTCTCGACCTCGCCATGCATGGTGGGGGTGGGTTGCTGACTGCGAAGCGGTCTCTTGTTCCGACAGCTGCTGGGGTGGGGGCTAGGTAGTGGGTAACTGTCGAGGGGGGAATTAGATTAGACCTCGCCGTGTGGGAGGGGTTGCGAATTAGACCCGTCGCCACTCTCGACGGCTGCCCGGGGGGTGCAGGGCAGTGGGTGCGTAGCGCAGGTTCATATTGTTTATTCATCTGCATCCCTGGGAGGGCTTCGAATTGCGGCACGGCCGCTACCTTCCAGGGCTGCTGGGCGGGGTGGGCAAATTCATGGGTACGGAGCACAACAGCCTCATCTTGGACCGCCTCCAGACCTGGCGGCGCACCTGCGGGTGGTCAGTTCCGACATCGAAAGGTACTGGGAGGCAGCGGGGAGGCTGGCGGCGAGCCAGGCCTCGCTCGGCTCCTGCACTTATTATGAACAGCTGGTCAATGGAGACGAAAGAGCAACATGGCGTCGGCTTCGCTGATTATCAGCGAACCAGTTGAAACATGGCAATCATCTTTTTTCATCCCTCGTCTCTCGTTCTCGTCCTCTTCCTCCTTCCTCCGTTTCCCTGCTGACGTCAGGCTGACTGTTCGGCACCCTTTCAGTCCTTAAATGCTCCAATTTCCCGCCCCTTCCTCTTCGAGTCTGGGGTCTCACTCCTCGACCTTCTACTGTTGTCCTGTGAGTCGTGCAACGCGCGCGCACCCCCTAAGCTTATTGAACACATGATGTTCCCTGCGTTGTCGCAGTCCATACTAAGTTGGGCCAGCTGCTATACACATGGGCTGGGTATGTCGCCAGGAATTAGTGTGATCGTTTCCTCTAACGTGGCCTCGTTAAACCAAGAAACTCGTCAGACGAAACGCGGGACCCCGTACGCAATCAACATTAGGCCCACGGTGTATACATATCCCTGCTGCTTCCCTGAACTGTCACAGAGGGGATCCGAAGTATTGGCTCGAGGTGCCTTCGCATATCCCTGTGATCTCCACTATGGCAAGTGTCGGGTCAACAAAAAAAACTATGGCAGACCACAGTGGTAAGCCAACAAAAAGAGGGATGAGGAGGTGAAACACGATGATTGTACCCACAGGGCACGTGGAATATGTTGTGACATCGCTTGCGTAGCCCAGAAGTGACAAAGATTGTACGCGCACGCTGCGCCCAGAGAGACTGTTCATTGTGTTGTCCTGGGTAAAGCATACAGTTATCCTGGACATGTGCGAAGCTGATGAAGGTGCATGAGCAAAACCCCCTGAAACCAATGCTAAACCAAGAGCCCGCGGAGCTCCTATTGAACGGCACCGGGGCGTAGACCTGCAACTTCTTTGCCCACAGTCGTTCCATCTCCAACTCCATCGAGTTCTTGAAATGGCTGAGCGTACCTCGCGCACTTTGAATGATACGATTGCTTATGATACACGCTAGAGGCGCGTTAGAGTTTCGCGATGTAGGCAGAGTATAGCGTGGCAGATGGTAAGCTGGATCGCAAACACACACACACACACTTACTGCCCAACTTGCCCGAACCACATGTTTGCATGTATTCCTCTGTGTGTACACTGTACACACATACATGTATTCGCCACCGTGCCCCCTGGCACGTTGGACGTGCTAGAATGGCAAGTGCTGTCTGGTAAGGTTTCTGTGATCTTCTAAGGACCCTCCGCTCGTCACGCTGGCGCGCATGCATCGGCCCGCATGCATGTACTCACAAGCGCCTGTGAACAGGTGTACAGGAACGTATCCCTCCTGCCCGAGGCCGCAATCCTCGTGAAATGCAACAAATTCGGGTTCCCGAGGCCAATATGCTTCAAAGACGGCCCAGTATGGCTCCAAAGCGGCCCACGTTGGCGTCAAGACGGTCCAAGATGGCCTCAAGACGGCACAAAGGCCTTCGAGGCGTGGAACGAGCGCCCCAAGAGCGTTCCAAAGAGGGCCTTGAGGCAACAAACAGTGAGATGCCTTATGTTATTACTGTTTTGGGGTTTCTCGCCCCGTCGAGCGTCCGACGTCCCAAGACGACGCAAGAGGCCTCCAAGACTACCCCAAGGCGACCGAAGAAGCCCCCAGGTAGGCATCAAGACGGCCCAAGGCTCCATTCCGGCCCCAAAGGCGCCCCAGACTGCCCAAGCATGCCCCAATACAGCCCTAAGAACGGCCCACGAGGGAGAACACGAACCAACAATTCGAGCCTTCCGCCGTAAGAGGTCTCAGTCTCAGGAGGCCACAAGAAAACCAACAGAGTTCCGCCAGAGGCCCCCAAGAGGGCCGCGAGAGGCAAACAGCACTGTTTGACCTTAGGCTGTGCAATGTTTGTTTGGGTTCTCGCCTTTTCGAACTTCCGACGCTCCTAGACGGCCCAAGGCCCCCGAGACTGCCCCGCGACGGTTCAAGAGGCCCCAAGACTGCCCAAGAGGGCTCCGAGACAGCCCACAGGGCGCCAAGGACGGCCCAAGAGGACCTGAAGACGGCACCTAAAAGTGTCCATGAGGGGGAACACAAACCGACAATCCGAGCCGTTCGTCCCAAACGGCCCTCTAAAGGGAGGTCATAAAGACGGCAACAAGATGCTCCGAAGAGACCCCAACACGGTCCCCGAAAGGCTCGAAACAGGCGCCAAGATTGCCTAAACGAGGTCCATAAGGGCTCCTCCAGAAGGAAAGGCAACATATACACATTTAACGGCGTTCCTCCTCGTCCTCCTCCTCCTCGTCATCCTCGTTCTCCTCGTCTTCCTCCACCTCTTCCTCATCCTCGTCACCTCCGTCCCGTCGTCACCTCCGTCCCGTCGTCGTCGTCGTCGTCGTCGTCGTCGTCGTCGTCGTCGTCATCAGCATCAGCATCAGCATCAGCACCAGTATCAGCATCAGCATCAGCATCAGCATCAGCATCAGCATCAGCATCAGCATCAGCATCAGCATCAGCCTCAGCCTCAGCATCATCATCATCATCATCATCATCATCATCATCATCATCATCATCATCATCATCATCATCGTCATCGTCATCGTCATCGTCATCACCATCACCATCAGCATCATCACACTCACCATCACCATCATCATCAGCAGCATCATCACCATCATCAGCAGCATCAATATCATCATCAACATCATCATTGTCGTCGTCATCATCATTATCACCACCATCATCATCCTCTTCTTCTTCTTCGTCATCATCATGTTCACTAGCATCATTATCGTCACCACCACCGTCATCAACATTATCAAAATCACCATCGTCCTCATCATCGTCGTCATCGTGATCATCACCATCGACCCTGACGGGCTCACAGACTTCGAACTCTTACCCAAACCACAAGACAGCCGAGTTGTCACACGTAACTGCGTCTAGCACCTTGCCCTCAGAACCCTCCAAGACGGCCTACAAAAAGCGCGCTACGTATTAGGGCTCTCCCAAAACCAAAAATACAGGATCTCACACGCTAGGACAGCCGTGCCCCCTCGCGCACAGACCGCCGATAAAGCTGGGCTGGCAAGGGGGTGGGACTTGCAGCAGACAGCTGGATATATAGTTTTATTTATATATATATATATGAATGTATATAAACCAGAGTGAGGGAGCCGAACGCTCATTCACTGTCCCTGGGCGCATGGCTGAAGCGGGACTCCGCGGCGCGGACTCTGCTTGAACTCTGATTACGAAAAAATAAACGGTGTTGATTCCCCCCGTCCGGCGCACATTGCACTGTTCAATTATAATGCCGTTCCCGGGGCTCGCACGCTGTCCTTTATCAGGGAAGGTCGTGAGGATCAAATTAGGCCACTGGCCCCCAAACTACAACAACAATAACAACTCCCGCCGAATACTTCGTCACAATTTATTGGGCCTCCCCGCTCCCGCTTGAAACTTCCTCGCAACTTACTCCAGAATCGCGCTCTCGCCTGGGACTTCCTCATAGTTTACTTGGGAATGGTGCTCTCGCCCGAACTGTCCTGGTCAAGTATGCAAGACGTACGAATTCGCGACCGTTGGACACACCCGGTAAGGCCCGCAGTCGCGCCTCGCTGCTTTTCGCCCGCTCCGATGCCCCTCGCTGCCCTTCGCGATACAGCGTTCGGATTTGATGGCCCCGCCGCTGCGTTCATGGCTTCCTCGATGCCTCTCGTGGCCCCGCTGTTGGAAACCGTCGAGGCCCCGAGGTCGCCCTCGCTGACCTTCGTGGCCCCGATGCAATTGTTCGTGGCCCTCTCGCTGCCCTTCCTGGCCCCCTCTGCAGCCTTCCGCGGGCCCCTTCCGTTTACGGCCGCGCCAACTAGTTACACGTGGCACGGGAGAGAAAAGTATCCACCCGAAGTGGGGGCACGATCGAAGACGAAGAGGGCGCGCATCCAGAGTCTGGAATCACATGTTGATTGGCACTCGCGCGTGTTAGAGCGAACGATATTGTCATGATTGCTGGTGTTGAGATCTAACTATCGAAGAGCAAATATTGCTGATCCCCCCTCCGGCGCACACTGCGTTTTTTCCCCAACATGCTTCATGGGTTTTTGGTGTTCGTCCCTCCTACGTCCCTTCCGCGAACTCCACTCACTCATTCCCCACCTCCCCCTTTCACCTTCTCCTTCTCACACGCATTCGCGCGCAACACATATGCACACAGCACACGTGAGAGGACACATGGACACAACATACATACACAATGCACATCATGCGCACACACACACACACATCTACAACCGCGCACACACACCATACGATGCTACAGAAGGCCTGGCGTGTTGATTGACCATACACCCCAGACGCATGCACCACAGACTAAACACCTACGTGAGACACACGTCGACTCACAGCCGCTCACTCATCATAAACAGACGCGCAATACAGACGCGGAATATTCGCAAACAGTGACAGGCGTGGCACCTTCTCGACGACAGAATTGTTGCGCAGGGGGTGGTCTCTGACCGCAGTCTCTATCCGTCCAGTGCTCGCACGGCGTGGCAAACTGGCACTTACTCGACACCACAAGGGGGGCGCGGGGGGTGGTTCATGAGCGCGGTCTCCATCCGTTCCAGACTCGCAAAGCGGGCCAGGCGTGACACTTGCTCGACACCTCAGGGGGTTGGCAAGGGGTGGTCCCTGAGTGCGGTCTCTATCCGTTGCACGCTCGCAAGGCGTGGCAATCGTGGCACTTTGTTAACAGCACATGGTATGGTCCCCGAACGCGGTGTCAATCCGCTGCAGGCTCGCAAAGCGCGGCAGGCGCGGCACTTTCTCGACGCCACAAGGGGGTGCGCAGGGGGTGGTCCCTGAGCGCGGTCGCTATCCGGTGCGGGTTCGTAAAGCGTGGCAGGCGTGGTACGTTCTAGACGCCATAGGGTGTGCGCAAGGGGTGGTTCCCGAGCGCGGTGTCTATCCGTTGTAATCTTGCAAGACGCGACAGGCGTAACAGTTTCTCAACACCACACGGGGCACGCAAGGGGTGATCCGTAGCGTGGTCTCTATCCGCTGCAGGCTCGCGAGGCGCCGCAGACATGGCATTTTCTCGACACCCCAAGGGGGTGTGCAGGAAATGGTCCGTGAGCGCAGTTTCTATCCGATGCACGCTCGCGAGGCGTGGCAGGCGTTGGATTTTTCGACGCCCCAAGGGGGGGGCGCAGGAGGTGGTCCATGAGCACGGTCTCTACCCGTTGCAAATTTGAAAAGCGTGGCATGCGTGGCACTTTCTCGGCACCTCAACTGGGGTGCGCAGGAAGCGGTCCCTGAGCGCGGTCTCTATCCGTTGCAAGCTCGCAAGGCGTGACAAGCGTAACGCCCTTTCGATACCACAAGGGGTTCGCAGGGGGTGGACCCTGAACGCGGTCTCTATCCGTTACAGGCTCGCAACGCGCGACAACCGTGGCAATTCCTTGACGCAACGAGGGGGGGTGGCGCACGGGCTGGTCCATGAGCGCGGTCCTATCCGCTGCAGGCCCCCAAGACGTGGCAGGCGTTGCATTTGATCGACGCTGGATTGGGCACGCAAGGGGGCGCAGTGTCCATGCGCCACAGGCTCGCAGGGCGCCGCAGGCGTTGTATTTCGTCGACGCAAGAGGGGGGTTGTAGGGCGCGCGGTCTCTGTCCGTTGCACGTTCGCAGGGAACGGCAGGCGTTGCATTTCCTCGACGCCACGCGGGGTGCGCAGGAGGTGCGGCCTCTACGCGCTGCAGGCTCGCAAGGCACGGGAGGCGCTGCATGTCCCCAGCGCCAAGGAGGGGTGAACAAGGGCGCGGTTTGTATGCTTCGCAGGCTCGCAGGGCGCCGCAAGCACTACACTTCCTCGACGCCACATTCGGTGCGCAGGGCGTCTCATCCGTAACTGTAAACTCTGGGCTCAAGCTGGCTCGGCACGAATGCGCTTACTTGAGGGCAAGGCGCGCCC